TGTTGCATTATGTTACGGAGGATCAAACTTACTAATCAATGGGTATGTAGATTCTGACTATGCATGGGATTTATATAAAAGCAAATCTACGACATGATATGTGTTCAAAATTGCTGATGGAGCTGTAAGCTGGGTTTCAAAATTGCAATCAGTTGTGGCTACATCCACAACAGAAGCAGAATATGTAGCAGCTACACAAGCCAGTAAAGAAGCAATTTGGTTGAAGATGTTATTGGAGGAGCTTGGGCACAATCAAGAGTATGTCTCTCTGTTTTCTGACAGTCAAAGCACCTTGCATCTAGCAAGGAATCCAACATTTCATTCAAGGAAAAAGCACATACGAGTTCAGTACCACTTCATTCGTGAAAAGGTGGAATAAGGGGCGATAGATATGCAGAAGATCCATACCAAAGACAACATAGCAGATTTCATGACGAATGCAATCAATGCTGATAAATTTACCTGGTGTCGATCCTCCTGTGGCCTGTCAGAGACGTAAGCAACATGAAGGTACAAGGTAGAAAGAATGGTGTGAAGATATGATTGTTCCAATCAAATCTTCAAGTGGGAGATTATTGAAAAGTCAAGGAAAACGGTGATTAATGCACCGAATTCATTCAATGCAAATTGTCAAAAGTTTCAACTAATTTGTTGAAAAAAAAATGGTAAAAGCTTAAATTAGTCATTGTACTTTAGGGTATTTACAAATTAGTCCTTAAGACTTCGACTATAAATACCCTATCTCATTTAGCTTCAAAATCATCCAGATGCATTCTAGCTTTCTTCTAATACTAGAGAGAATTTAGAGAGTTTCTTGAGAGTTGTTTTCTCCTTTTTATCAAGAGAGAATTATCATTGTATTCTCCTTGATAGATCGAGAGAGGTTGTAATTCCTATTTTTCTCATAGTGAAATTCTTCTATCGTTGCCCGTGGTTTTTACCCTATATTATTTAGGGGTTTTCCACGTAAATTTTGTGTCTCTTTTATCTTTATTTTCTCAAATTATCAGTTGCGATTTTGCTCTATCCGATAGCCGTCTTCCACAACAGGTCCAACCTTCATGTGTTTCTATTGACTAAGAAAATTTTAAATTTTTGTCTAAACAAACTTAATGAGATTAATCATATATATATTAATAGTTAAAGTTGGCCTATCATTTTCATTGATTCAGCTGCACTTTCATTCGCAAAGCATATTTATTCAAATTACAAATATAAAATCTCAAGCTTTTACGAGTTAAATAATCTGAATTATTTTATAAAATAAAATGGTTAACATAAATTATAAACAAATTTTAAGGCGATACAGATAAATTTAATCTTCAAATTTTCTATATTTATATCAGTTTTAATATTATATATTAATATTAATTCATTTTATATGTTTAAGTTAGATTTAATTTATAACTTCTAAAATTTTAATTATCATAACTTAGAAAAAATATTAGGTTATTAAAATTGTCATAATTATGACATAACAATCTATGCACACTTTATTATTTTGATGTAATAATTTGTGTTATCTTATCTTATAATTAATTACATTTTAAAAATATTTTAACATTAAATAAATATATTTGTTTATATATGTTTAATATTTTACTTTTAATTATTTTTTAAAATTTCCAATATATATATTGTCTTCTATTCAAGGACGAACATAAATTTTATGTTAAGGGAACAAACTTATAAAATTTTAAGAAAAATAAAAATAAATATTTAATAAAAATATAAAAAAATCTAAATTATATAAAAATTTAAAAAAATGATTGCATATCCGCTCCTTTCAATTCATCCCAGCTTCCATCTATACCATAAAACAAAGGATAAGATAAATTGTAATAGAGTTGTTGAGTCTCAGCTTACCGTTGCATTGACTAGAAAGGCGAAAGAAACGATAATGGGTGAGACTTTATTTTTACAAGCAACAAAAATAGTGGACCACAAGGGATATCTACAAATTTGATCTTAAAAAGACAGATATTTCATGATTTTTTTCCACCAAAAGTTTTATGGGTAAAATGCACAAATAATCCCGATTATATAACATTATTTTGTTGAGTTATTTGATTATTAAAAGCTACAAAATAATCTCTCAATTATAGGATAATGATTTGTTGAGTCCCCGACTACTAAAAGTTACAAAATGATCACTACTATTCACAATTTTAGCTGGATGTTAACCTGTATATATGATAAAATATGATCACAGAATCATTTGAGCTATATTTTGTAGATTGACTCTCCATTTATAATATATTGTCGAGTCAGTTCTTGAAAGCAATGACGGTGTTAGTAGACATCATTAAAATATGATTATACCATATCACATTCACCAGGTTATCGTCAAGTTCAAATGATCGTCAAATTTTTAATGGAAAATAACGAGTTTAGAATGACTATTTTGTAATTTTATATAGTCAAGGAACTCAACAAAACAATGCCCTATATCTAGGGGACCATTTTGTAACTTTTAATAGTTAGAGGACTCAACAAAGAAGAACCCTATAGTCAAGGGACCATTTGTATGCTTTACCCAAAAAATATTATAAAAACGATGATTTATTAAAAATCTGAATTTTAAGTATTTATATTTTAGAAAAAAGTTAATTTTCGCATAACATTATAATATTTATACCGAAAATAAAATAAAATTACAATCATTAATATATTATAATATTTATATCTGGTACACAATTATTTAAAACATAGTTTGAATATTCAAAATAAATTTTATAAATAATTTATAAATTTAAAAAAACGATTTTAAATTTTATATATTTAAATACCACCTAAATTAATTTAATTTTTAGCTTCCAAATTTAAGATCTATATTTTAACTTTTAATTATGCTTCTTATTGGCAAAGTTAAAGGCTTGAAAATGGAAAATCACATTTTGCATAAATTTTTTCACAATTTTTTTCCAAATCAAACCTTGTGTTATAGAAAAATAATTTAACCCTCATTCGATTCTACGCTAATCGAAATAATAAAATATTAAAATCTATGATAGGTAAGTTCATATAATAATGTTGTAAGCATAAAAATGGTCAATTGGTTTTTTTTCTCTTTTTTATATAGGAATGAGAGTCTCGTTAAAAACCTCCATCTCAAAAAAGTATAAGAAGAATGAGGAAAAGAGTGCTCAAAATTATATTATATTCAACAAAATTTATCCAGAGTTATCGAAACAATCCCTTGATGAAACTAACAAAGGAACATAAAAACCAAAAAATAAACAACTAAGCCTGCCGATGGCACTGAACTTAAACAAATAGAAACACATCTTCACCGCACCAGCACCTTCAAGCGCAGCATAACAGTTGATTGCCTTACCTCTTATTAAAAAATTAACAGTGATTCAATAAGATAATGTCATTAATATTTTTTTTTGGGTAAACTACATGTTTAGTATTCATATTATCATTATTATTATTATTATGTTTTGATCTCCTATTATTAAAAAATTAACAGTGATTCATTATAAGATAATGTCACATCATCATTAAAAATATCACATCAACAATTCTATTAATTTTGTTTACAATGGATGGCCAAAATGAAACCAAAACGTAACGTTAGATATTATTTTAAAAAAAGTAGTTGGGTGACCAAAACGAAATAAAGTTATAATTAGGATATTAAATGTGTACTTTAGCCTATTTTTTATATTTAGCTTACTAATTATATTGGACCCTAATGATTTAGGGTTTTCTAAATAATAATAAAATAATAATAACAATTATAAGTTAATTTAAGAGGATAAGACATTATATTATTTTAAAAAAATTGAAGTTCAAATTATAACGTTGTAAGGAAAAGGTTAAATTAGAAAAATCAATCTTATAATTAACTTCTACAATATTCGATTTTAATTAATCGATCAATAAATCAGACACCGATAATTATATAAAAAAATTCCTTAAAACAATATTAAAGATCCAAATTCTGAAATTTTGAATATAAAAATTAGGTTAAGACGTTTAATTCAATTCAACAATAAATTATCTATCAGTGATTATATAAGAAATTGTTTTTTACCGATAGTTTCTCTTATATTACTAAACATGAGTGATTTTTTAATAGTAAACATGAGTGATTTTGTTACAGAATTAAACTTTTTCTAAATAATTATTAATTAAAAATGTTAATTACTTTCATTATTGCTATTAAAATGATACTAACTCCTAATACACATACAAATTATTTAATATTATTTAAATGTTTATTCGAATTTCGTGCTCAGATGATAAGGTAGAATAGAAGCTATTCTATATAATTATTTTTTTATAAATAAGCTTCAAGAATAAAACAAAAGTAAAACAAAGAATTACTAATATTGTGATGGAATAAAAAAAATAAAAGGAAAAAGAAGGAGTACTATGACGCAATAAACAAAAAAGTAATCATATCAATTCAAAGAAAAAAAAGGAACCATGTGATTGCATAATTTAGACAGTCGTGTCCTTTCAAAGTTTAGGATAAACTAATTACTTAGTCATCTAACTATCACTTTAGTTCTATCATGGTCACTTAACAATTATTATTTTTAAAACCTTATATAAAGTTATATTTTAGTTTCATTTTACTCACCCATTATTAAAAATTAACAATATGCTGATATATTATCATGGAAAAAATAAAAAATTACCATGTCCATAGTTTTATTTATTTTTCAAAGACGGATGATCAAAATAAAACCAAAATGTAATATTAGATATGATTTTGAAAAAAGAAATAGTAAAGTGACTTAAACGGAACTAAAGTGATAATTGGATGACTAAATAAGTAGTTTATCCTAAAGTTTAAAACTGCAAAACAGAAAACCCAGAACAAAAGCCTGCTTCTTTTCGGCTTTATTTGTGGGAGAAAAAAGAACAAAAATACGTATTAATCTTCGCATGAACTCGGTGTGACTTTTAACTTTGACTCAACCCACCGCTAAACTCATCTCGCCATTGATTCATCGCCTCCGAGTAGTTCACTGTCGTCAACCCGGAGGCTTCCGACGACGTAACGAAAGGTGAGGTCGAGAGTTAAGAGACAGCCTCATTCATTGCTCATTGATTATCATACTCGCCCACTTTCAGGGATCTAAAACAAGAAAAATAAAAAGATTTTTTCGAGCGTAAATAGCGGTCACTCTCGTGCTTCCTCCCACTAATAACTCCGCTGGCGGCTGGCGTGAGGAGTACCGTTAGAAGGGTCTTTAGCTGTTGAGTGCTGACCACTTCGCAGAAATGAGCAGCACACCGCTAAGATTCTACAGGTCCTATTTGGGGTCCAAAACAATGTCGTTTTTGCGGTGGAGGAAGGTGACAGATTCCTCAAAGTCGCGAATCTTCGATCCCAGCTTCGACAAAGAAGATGACAAGAAGAACCAATACAAGAGCCCCCAAAGACGAAGTTATAGCTCTAAAAAATGGTCCTGCTGGGACAATTGTTGTTGGTTCATTGGCGTCATATGTTCGGTGTGGTGGTTCTTGCTCTTCTTATACAACGCAATGCCCGATTCGATCCCGCAATACGTGGCGATGGCTATAACGGGGCCATTGCCGGACCCGCCTGGTGTCAAGCTCAGGAAAGAGGGCTTGACGGCCAACCACCCTGTGGTGCTTGTTCCGGGAATTGTAACCGGTGGGCTCGAGCTCTGGGAAGGGAGACAGTGTGCTGAAGGATTGCTTGGGAAACGCCTTTGGGGTGGCTCGTTTGGAGAATTTTATAAAAGGTATCGGTTTTTTTTGTTCTTTTTCATTCTGGGTTTTGCCTTTCTCAGCAGATATGCATGCCAGGAAATGTTCAAGGTTACTATTACTGCAACTGCTTCTTGACTTTCTATCTTTTATTATTATTATTATTGTTGTTGTTTTTTATCAAATAAAATTAGAACTTTTTAATTGTTGCAAAAGCTTCTTCCTTATCTTGTATGTTTTGTTTATGGGATACTTTTGGCTACTCTTTCTGCAACTTGATCTCTATCATGTGAGTGGCAGAATGGATTAAAAGTTGTATTTGTACTCTGTTGGATCATATGTTTTACCCTGTTCTGTAATAGTTGAAGCTTTCTACAAGTGTTAAGAACATGATTATGTAAGATTCCAGGATTCACTTTATTTTTTGTCTCTCATCAAACTGTATGTAAAAGTTCATACCCCTACCGTTCTTCCAATTTCATTGCAGACCATTATGCTGGCTTGAACACATATCACTTGATAATGAAACTGGATTCGACCCTTCTGGTATAAGGGTCAGGCCTGTTGCTGGACTTGCGGCAGCTGATTATTTTGCAAGGGGTTATTTTGTTTGGGCGGTCATGATTTCTAATTTGGCTCATATTGGCTATGAGGAAAAATCATTGTATATGGCTGCTTATGATTGGAGGTTATCTTTTCAGAACACTGAGGTATGCTCTTAATTTGAAATTTTACAGTTCTCTCAAATTGATTCTACCAAATAAATTTGTGCTTATTCACATTCATAAAATACAAATGTTTATATTTAGTCTATTTGAATAAATCAGGTCAGGGACCAATCTTTAACTAGAATTAAAAGTGACATTGAGCTCTTGGTAGCTACACATGATGGGAAAAAGGTAGTAGTTGTTCCGCATTCGATGGGAGTCCAGTACTTTCTGCATTTCATGAAATGGGTTGAAACACCAGCTCCTAGGGGTGGTGGAGGTGGATCAGATTGGTGTGCGAGGCACATAAAGGCAATAGTGAATGTCGGTGCACCTTTTTTAGGTAGCCCAAAATCGATCGCACTGCATTTTTCTATTGAAGTCAGGGATGTAGCAAATCTCAGGTACTATCATGTTTGCTCTCATTCTTGGTGAACTGAAAATAGTTTCAGACATGGTGAATTGCATTTCTAACTCATGGTGAAAATAGTTTCGAGAGCTTGATGAAATGTTCATTGTTAAAACAGGGCTCAAGCACCAGGTCTTCTGGACAAAGATGTATTTGGTCTTCAAACTTTTAAGCATTTAATGCGAATGTTCCGAACTTGGGATGCCACCTTTTCAATGGTACCGAAAGGTGGGGAGACAATCTGGGGTGGTCTTGATTGGTCACCTGAAATAGATAACTTGGATGATGGCCCGAAAAAGGGGAGGAACATTAGCATTCATAATACCAGTGAAAACTCAAAGAGCTGTGTGTGTAATACAAAAGGTGTGAATTATGGGAGACTTGTTTCATTCGGGAAAGAATGGTCTGAGACACATTCTTCCAAATTTGAGAGGCCTGATTTCAAGGTATTGTCATGCCGAATGGAAGATTTTATAAATCAAAATGCAATTATGACAGGAAGACTAATATGAATTGTGCTATTTGGTTTGCATGCTAGGAGATCATTTGTTCCTTACTCTGATTATTGTTTGATCAGCAGAATGTTGCAAAGGGTGATGAGCTTGCCAACTCAAGCAACTGTGACATATGGTTAGAGTATCATGAAATGGGAAAAAAAGCTATCAAAGCAGTTGCGGATCACAAAGTTTACACTGCCGGATCGATTTTGGATCTGCTTCATTATGTTGCACCCAAGCTGATGGCACGGGGAGCTTCTCATTTTTCGTATGGGATAGCCGATAATTTGGATGATCCGAAGTATGAACATTACAAATATTGGTCAAACCCCTTGGAAACAAAGTGAGTTTCTTCAACTTTTCTGTTATTTTAATTGGTTTTTGATATTTTCTTTGAGTAGTTTGCAAGTGCCGGATTATTTTGCAGGCTACCAAATGCGCCAGACATGGAAATCTACTCATTGTATGGAGTTGGACTTTCCACCGAAAGAGGTTATATCTACAAAGTAGCTAGTCCCAGTGATTGCCATATTCCGTTTCAGATAGACACATCGGTCGATGGTGATAGTGAAGATTCATGTCTAAAAGGCGGTGTTTTCTCTGGTGACGGTGACGAAACAGTTCCTGTTATAAGTGCAGGTTTCATGTGTGCAAAAGGTTGGCGGGGTAAAACCAGGTTCAATCCTTCGGGAATCCGTACTTACATACGGGAGTACAATCATGCCCCTCCGGCTAATCTGCTAGAAGGTCGAGGCACCCAAAGTGGTTCTCATGTTGATTTGTTGGGGAATTTTGCTTTGATCGAGGATGTTCTCCGAGTCGCAGCAGGGGATTCTGGTGAAGACCTCGGCGGAGATCGTGTTTATACCGATATATTTAAATGGTCTGAAAGGATCAATTTGCAGCTCTAGATTCCGAACTCAGGAGGTAATCACTCAAAAGACTAAAGTTGAATATGGAACATTGATTGAAATATCTTCTCCAACTTAAATGGTCTGAAAGGACCAATTGCTGCTTGTCTGGTTTATGATCTTTTAAGTCATGTTCACCATTTTGCACTTAAATGTTTCAGTGATGACACTGATCTTCTCTCACTTCTCCTTGGGTTTTACTCGTTGAAGAAAAAAGAAAACAGGGTTTGAGGCCCTCAGTCATCAGAAACGTTGTAGAATCAAAAGAGCATCGAATTATGGTTGTATGAAATTGGCTTCCCACGTTATGATATGGCATGCCCCTTCAATGGGAGGGGCAATTGCCTCAAATCCTCAGATATAAACATTCAATTAATTAATTTTGTTAGATTACTCTTTTTTTTCTCCATTCTTGTTTTTGAAATAATATATCTTTCTCAATGCTTGCAAATTATTTATTTTACTGTATAAGCAATGTGATATTATATGAAAAAAAAAACTGAGACATACTCATATAGGACACATGAGTTTAATTATTTGCTTCACATATTGATAAGATAAATAAAGAGGCAGGATGTAGGGTTGGAAGTGGGATTGGAAAACAGCCTATTTGGTGGGGTAGGTTCAATCAATTTCAAAATTCCAATCATAAAATGGTCCATGCCCCCATGCCTTGAACAAAAATATATAGGATAAATTACGTATTTTGTCATCTTATTATTCTTACGGTTTTATTTTGATCATTCAACTAAATTTTTAAAATTATATTTTGATCAATTATTATTAAAATATTAATGGGAATACTAACGTTTTATTATAAGATAATATCACATCATTATTAAAAAATAAAAAATTAACACATTAGTAGTTATGTTTATTTTTCAGTGATGGGTGACCAAAACAGAATAAAAATATAATTTTAGGTATGATTTGAAAAGGTTAAATGACCAAAACGAAACTATAAAAATAATTGAGTGATTAAATATATAATTTATACAAATATATATTAGGAAATGGAAAGTTTTAAAGTAAAGTGTTCACTTTTGTCAGACTGGTCTCATCGTTTGATTTGAACATTGAAGCAATGAATATGGAATGGGACCAACAAAACACATATTTGCTTTTCATCCCTTCCCTCATTTAATTAACCCACCTTTGACAGCTGTTGTTGCTCGTTTGCTCCAATCTCAAATTAGTATCATTTTTCTGTATATATATTTAGAGGATTGGATTTAGACATTTTTCCCGAAAAATTATCGATAATCAGTATATTTAACGATCTAATATCAGTTAGATTATATTTTTTGATCTAATACCTGTAGCAGTAAAACGTATTTTTTGCCCCGCGTTATATGTTGATTTGGCGTCACGTGGGGTATAGCGCGCCCCCTGTACCGCGCTATATGCTGACATGGCTTACACGTGAGTATAGCGCGCCCTCTGATCTGCGCTATATGCCACGTAGGGGTATAGCGCTGCCCCTGCTCAGCGCTATACCTGGGAATGAATTATGTCCGCGCTATACATTTTATCTGAATAATTATATATAGCGCGGTGCAGATACCGCGCCTTATATGGTTATAAATACTCTCCCCCCTCCCGGTTAAGTTTCTCACATCTCTCCTCTAACTTATAAATTAATACAACAATTCTGTCAACGAGTAATAATTCTGGTAATTTTCTCATATTTGATTTAGAAGTTCGTGCGATTTTTCATTATAAATTTTGTTATAATTTTTTTATTATACTTATTGTTTATGATGATTATTTGAAAAAATATTATACTAATTATTTTCAATTAATTTTTGTGTTTGTAAAATTAAAAAGCAGGAGCATACGTCAAAATAGTTTTGCGGTACATGTAATAATATAAAATTATATTATTTAAATTATTTACGTTGATGTGTAAAAAATTTATTGTGTTATATTTTCGTTCATATATAATTTATTTAATCAGGTTTGTTTCAGTTATTTTTTTTGCAGATATAATATTGCTGCACTTTTAAACTCAAAGAATGACTCGACTTTCATCTATTGTTTATTATGATGGTGAAATTTGAGAATATGAAATCGGTATTGTTTTCGTATCAAATGAGCATGTTAAAATATCATTCAAGAGAAACATAACTCTTGAGGAGCTTATAACGAAGATTTCGAAGAAGATTCATGTTGGAAGTAATAGAAGAATGTCGTCGTTGCAGTACATATTTCTAACATCATTGTTGCCATTAACTTATACAGCGTTCAAACTTTCAAATAATGATGATGTTCAAATGATGGTTGAAGCTTAAAGTAATTATTCAGACACTGCTATTGAGATGTATGCATATTTTGTTCAAGTGTGTGCTATTCGGGGTCAATCATTAAGCTCTCACTATGGGCTGGCTGAACAAGTTGATCAAGTTGACAGCCCGACTACAGTAATATGTAATGATTTTAATGTCATAATGGGGAGACATTCATCCGTAAATCCTTACGGTCTACGAATAATCCGTATGGCAACACCGCGTCCAGTTCAAGGGGAAGGCATTCATCTGCAAATTTCTTTGACCATATGGAGATGACATCGACGCAACCATCTGTGCAGTTTCCATTTGACACGATGGCTTCAAGCTCTAGGGGGAGGCATTCGACTGCGAGCTTTTTCGATCTCAATATCGATATGCCTTCTAGTTCAAAGGGAAGGCGTGTAAGTAGTAGTTTCTTCAACCTAAATGTGGAGAGCATGGAGGAACCATCATCTCCACCAGAAGAACCGCTTCGTGAGCCTGGTGCGGATGGTGTTGAGACTGGACTATTCATTCACCCAGAATCACCGCAATTCAACTCCGATGATGATGAAGTTCCAGGAAATGTGGCACAAACTGACCCTCCTGCACACATGTATGAAGCTGATTATGGTGCAATTTACGGGCTAGAATTTACGGATATGCCTCATTTCGGTGACTATGGATATTACTCATCAATAAATAATGGTGAGTTATATTTAGGCATGGAGTTTTCAAGCAAATAAGAAGCGATGATGGCTATAAAAAATTACAATATTCGTAATTCTATTCAGTCCATAGTCAATCGATCAACGACCGAAAAATATGTATGTTATTGTGCCCGACGCGAAAACGGATGCAATTTCACGTATTGAAAATGAAGAGGAAAAATAACATATAGGAACTAACAGTATACAACGGTCCTCACACATGTTGTGCTGGAGGGGTCAACCAAGATCATCTCAACTTGGACTTTGAAATGATATGCCAAGCCATCATGCCCATGGTAAAAACAAGCTCTCTTATAGCTGTTGCAGTGTTGATTTCAGCTATACAATCGCAGTATGGGTACACTGTCTCCTATAAAAAAACTGGTTGGCAAAACAAAATGACATTGTCAAACTTCATGGCGAATGAGATGCATCTTACAACGAACTTCCAGGTTGGTTTAGGCTGGTGCAGACGTTGAATCCTGGGATAATTATGGACTTCGAAACCTCCTATACATACCATAATGATCGAGTTCTTCGCGATCTAAGCCAATTCTACAAGGTTTTTTGGAGTTACCCACAGTGCGTTAATGCTGCAAAATACTACAAGCCTGTGGTCCAGATCGACGAGACTTTCTTGTATGAAAAATAAAAGCAAGTTTTATTATTGGCAGTTGTCCAAGATGGCAATCGCAACATTCTTCCAGTTGTTTTTGCTCTTGTCGAAGGAGAAGATACAGATTCTTGGGCTTTTTTCCTCCGAAATTTACGTGCACATGTTATCACGAGGGAAAACATCTGTGTCATTTCAGATCGCGGAGCTGGGATCAAAGCAGCAATGGAGTCTTTGGGTCCAATGTGGCAACCACCCTTTGTCCAATATAGGTATTGTCTCTGACACATTGCTGCGAACTATCATGGAAGGTACAAGAAGAATGATGAGCGTCAATTAATTGTGCGCATGGGTAAGTGAAACTGATGTAGTTTGTTTTCTTTCAATCGTTTTAATTTTGCAAAGAAAGCAAATTAGTAAGTTATACATTTTTGATCGGGTTACGAACTACTTCCTCGAACGTTTGAATCAATGCTTCAATATTTGCGGGCGAAGAACGAGGAAGGATACGATTACATCAGCCTCATCGATAAAGAAATGTGGACGAACACATATGATGGTAGATATCGATATGGACACATGACGACCAATTTGGCTGAGGCAATCAATTCAACCTTAAAGGGTGCACGTTACTTACCTGTAGCGGCTTTGGTAAAAACTATATATTTTTGTTTGGGGGTGCTTTTTGCGATGCTAGGGGGACAAGCTCAAACCTGGATGCAAGACAGTCATGTCTATCACCCTAGATTAGTTACAGATCTACAGAAAAAAATTGTTGCATCAAATGGAATGTCTGTAATAAGATTCTCTAGAAGGCATGAAATGTTTCGTGTCACAGAGTTGTCGCAACCTCTTCAAGGGATTGAAGCTATGTCGTTAAGAGTAAATATAAGGGACAAAACGTGCGACTGTGGGTTTTTTCAAGCTCTGAAGTATCCATGCTCTCATGTGATAGCAGCTTGCTCGCATACACGTCAATACTATAACCATTTTGTGGATCTCGTATACCTATTATATGAAGTTTTTAAGGTATACGAATTTTAGTTTCCCCCCATAGGTAATGACAAAGACCCTGGAGGTGTATGACTGACTTTCCCACCGGCCTGCGAAAACTGGGAAAACTCATAAAACCCAGACATCGCTGAGTGTGAAAACTGTACAGGAGGTGTCTGTACTGCGGCCATGGGTGATGAGGCTGAACCCGCCAGATATCCAGTATATGAACCTTAAGTCGGATATGCAAACATAGACCCATAATAGCCTATAGGAGGGGTCATATGTGACGGTAGTGGCGGCAGGGTCATAAAACCAGGTGAAGGCGGCAACGACGACATCTGGTAATGGAAAGGCGGCGACATCATAAATGGTTGCGGTGGCTGCTGTGAAGGTCATGCTAGTACAGCTGAGGATGAACCGGAAGCACATGCTCTCTGTCCACGAGTCAGGGGACAATGGTGTTGTGTCGGTGAACGTCTCCGTCGACGTCGTGGAAAGGTCTGCTCTCGTGCATCCTCGGGAAGCAGAAACGGTTTCTTGTTACTGTTAAACCACTCATAATAACCTTCAGCAACACTCAAGAGGTCAAGTAAAATGGGCTCTCTACGGGGAAGGCGTCGATGTCGATCCTCCCACAACACGACCCACTCATGATGTCTCACCAGCCAATCTGTATCTGTCTTGCCGCGTCTATCTAAGATATGCAACTTGTCCATATTGCGAGGTGCTTCCGGAATTGGTTGAAAGCAACCAAACTGTCAGAGCACGCGATCAATAGAGTGTCACTCGACGGTCGCATAACAGATCAGAAGGACCATCGTCATCCAAACATCTGATAGGCCCCTCAACTCATGTGAGATCACCGTCCTCACATCATCAGTACAATATGTCACCCATTCAAACTAAAACAAATATTATATATTTTTTTATCAAAATAATAATCTAATTATATAACTATAATCTAAAATCGATTTTTAAACATTAAAATTCATACTTGTGTGCTAGCATTCTGATCGATTAGCACCCTAATTTTTTCTAAATCATCAGGTAGCTCCTGATGATTTTTCCTATCACTAGATCACCTATTCAAGGAAAAAATTATTATACGCTGTATAAAATTATTAATATACAAAATCAGTTTTATAATTACCTCAGAAGTAGTGGAAATACGAATGGGTTCTTCACAACGGGACATAAAAAGGGCAATCGATACCATGCCCAAGACTGCAGCAACAGGAGACATCCGCCGATAGCATTACGCCTGTAGTCAGTGGCTCCACACATCTCTGTGTACAGCAAAGCCAAAACTGTCGAGCCCCAACTGAATGATCCGGCCAGACGAAAGTCGCTAAGATGTCACAACCCACATACAGTAAACTAGGTTGTGCGATTTGTCCGGCATCAGCAACCCTCCTATCAACTGCAGTATGCATGCCCGTGCATACATCTTAACTTCATCCTCAAAGGCGTCTGCGCTCAACTCCTGAAAATTGGCATCTAACCAATTTAACGGTATCCTATCTCCGATAAAACTTTCCGGGATACGTCATAGATTATCCCGGCACAAAGTAGTCCAGGAACCCTGTGAGATCCCTGATATCACATCTCCATCCACCGGAAGCCTTAGGTGCATAACAACATCCTCAAGTGTAATCGTGCACTCTCCGCACGGAAGATGGAATGTATGGGTCTCCGGCCTCTACCGCTCTACTAAGGCAGAAATAAGGTCTGGTTCTATCTTACAGTGACTCTGGTATCTACCTATGTAACCAAATCCAGCCTCTACTAAATACGGCAAGACACGGCTAGGTATCACTGACTTAAGATTCCTAATAAAAGGATCTAATGCACGGTCCTTCTCCTAAAATTAAATAATCACACAAATTAATTCTTAATCTAATAATCATGCATTAAATAAATCAACAAATTATTACAAATAAATTAAATTAAATTAAAAAGTTAAAATGTTATCGTATCAGCAAAGTATCGAGATATATGATTTCCATCCAAGCGAAGTAGATCGCCTTCCATTATATATATGCAAAAAATTATATTAGTAAAATATTAAATAAAGTAAAATGCTTAAATAAATTAAATACATAATATTAAAAATATTATAAAATATACCTTAAATAGAGAGAGTATTTGAGAGAATATGGTGTGATGAAAGTAATAGAGGAGGGGGTATTTATAGGGACGATGAGGGATAATTAAAGGTATAGCGCGACCCCTGTACCACGTTATACCCCACGTATCAGATAAACAGCTATAGCGCGGTACAGGGGGCGCGCTATACCACACGTGACGCCAAATCAGCATATTGCGTGGGGCAGGAAGCGCGCTTTACTGCTACGGGTGTTAGATCGGGAAATATAATCTGACCGGTATTAGATCGGTAAATATACCAATCACCGGTGATTTTTCGGAAAAAACGCCCTTGAATGTAGAATTTTAATACTTTAAAAACCAAGATATTATAAATGTAATTGTTCAAGATTTCTAAAAATGATAATATTCATTCTTTTTATTATTATTAAGGTAGTTTGATTTGTTCATACAAAATACATTATCTAATATATATATAATTGGACACCAGTTAATAAATTATTATTATTTCTTAAAATTTTAGATTCCAATACTATATATATATATAGATATATAAATATTAATAGTTACTTTATATTCACTTTAGATTAGTCTAAGAAAATATAATTAGATAGTAAAAATGTTAACTTTTATAACATTAATGCTTACATATATCCCAAATGTCGATAACAACTGCACAATCACAACTTGGCTGATACAAAGTGAGGCTCCAATTGGTGAACAAAAAAACACAATTAGAGTTCCATTTTGAATGCACCAGCAAAATTAAAACATAGTTTGACATCAAAATCAGACACAACTTGGAAGCTCCAACCACGACCCCAACAATCAAAACACACTCAAGCTTGCAAGGAGCTTCATGAAAGTGAACAAAAACTTTACTCCCATGAACCTTCCTCAACAATATCACTATAATACTTATTCACTTGACTGAGGAAATCGAATTCAACCAGGAAAAAAAAAGGTTGAGAAATGTCTCATTTTGGTTTCTTCAACCGTGTTAATTTTAATGGATCTTATATCATTTGCTTCTCTTTCATGGAGTTTATTTTCTCTAATTTCCACCCATCTCTGAGTCTGGCAATAAAGGTATCAGCTTTCGCATTAACATCAGGACTGGGACACACAACTTGGACCCCTCCATCATTACCCTCCATCATGCTTGACGGAACATTGGCTTCCTCAATGTCCGGAGAGCTGCACCGAGAGCTGGGATTGCTTCGTATCTTAACGAAATCCCCACTGAACACAAATTTAAGCTCCGACATTGAAAATGACGGTGGAGGTGGCGGCTTCGGGATTAATGGTGACTGCCAGCCGCTGTTTACATTCTCCTCATAGTAACTGCTAGTGTTTGCTTTTGTTGGCAATGGTGGCCTACATCTGTTGGCCTTGGACGTAGTTCGCCTTCTTGAAGGTTCTGGTGGGGGTGTTGGTGGTGCAGGCGGTGGTGTCGTTGGCAGGATTTGGGTGTTTTGCATAAATTTTGGGACGGAAAATGGTGGTGGTGGTGGTGGAGGACGAGGAGGAGGAGATGCCAGAGGAGCTGAAGGGATTTTTTTGCTTTTGCTGGCCTTTGATCTGAAGAGATTGTATTTTTGAAAGACGGAGGACGGTGGCGGTGGCATTGGCGGTGGAGGTGGCGGTGGCGGTGGCGGAATGGTGGAATAGCAAGGCGGTGGTTGACGTCGAGAATGCAGAGGGTAATCGTGATGATGATCATGATTATGATCCTTAGCCTTCTTCTTCTTTCTCTTCCTAAAAGAAGCAAAAACCATCTTTATTTCTTTGGTTGCATTACTTCTTCTACGTTCCAATTTCGCATACCTTTGTTCTGATCTATTTCCCTGCTGAACTAGCTGCGATGGTGGTCGTCGAGGAGGTGGCGGTGGAGGTAGCGGTTGTGTTACTGGCTTCGGAGACTCACTCTCATCGAATTCAATATGAGGTTTCATCACGTTCTCTTTCTGTCCAACAGCTTGGTAAGTTCGCCTTTGTTTAAGGTAAGCAGCTGCTGGAGGCGGAGGCGGAGGCGGGGGCGAAGGCGGAGGTGGCGGTGTTGACGGAGCTGGAGACATTGGTGGAAGAGGCGGCCAAGGCGAAGAACGAAACACAAAGGTGTCGCAAGGAATAACCTTGGGTTCAGATTCTTCAAAATGATCATTTCTCCAGCTCTGGCGAAGCTCGTGAGCTTCATCGTTATAATTATTTGTTGAAGATCGATATCTGTTTATCTCAAAATCATCAAAAAAACGAGACCGATCTTCATTATTTTCCCACAAAGACTCTTGCCTCAGATCTGGGTACGAGCTACTGCTTCTCTTCAGCCTCCTCACGCCGGTTGGTTCCGCCGCCAATGTCTTGGCGTTCACTGGAGGGTGATCATCGTAGATCTTCTTTTCCGGATACTGATCAAACCATCGCTGCTGAACGGGATGGCTTAGCTTGTTATTATTACTACCATCAGTCCTACTGTACTTGTCCTCCCCGTCGCAGCCGTTTCTTCTAACGAAAACGCCGCAAAGAATGACGAAAAAGACAAGGAAAACGTTGAGGGAGTCGGAGTTTTTCTTGACGCCGGTGGGTCTAAAAATCTGACCGGCGATGGTCGACAGAAACGGAGGGACGGCGAAGAACAAGAGAAGCAATGCGATGGTGGGTAAGAGAATGATGAGAACTGGTGGGGTGAAAAGGGAAGATGGCGATCTACGACGACGGTAATGCATGGAGGTGGTGGCTAGTTGTGGCCATAATGGCGGCGGCTCTCCAGTTAATTCCATGGGAAAAAGGCCAAGTTTTGAGTTTTCTTGTCAGGCGATAAAGACTTTATAAACAAAACTGAAGGGGGAAGCTTGGGCTGAGAAGAGATATTATCCGTCATCATTTCAAATGAATCATTTCCAACCTTAATGCGCTCCTGTATTTAATAAATTATAATTTTGAATTTTATTTCTAACCTTAAATGTCTTCATGATTTTATATTTGTTTTAAATTAATATTTAAATTTTAAATTTCAAAATGTTTTAATAAAGTATTACATAAAAAAAAATTAATAATCAATAACTAATTGATCTAGAGAGATAAAATAATAGATCATTTAAAGAGTGTCAGAGTTTGAATCTTAATGTTATTAAAGAAGCAAATTGGATTAGGGGTTGTCCTTATAATGTGCCTTTACAAAATTCAATCCAAACTACTCGATTAATATATCAAATATCGATGATTAAATAAAAATGTAATAAAATATTTTAAAACGTTTCAATAAAATATTACATTGAAAAAATAAAATATTTTATTAATTAGTCGTGTGGTTAAAGATATTCATATTACTTCATTTTATGTAGTTTGAATTTGACATTTACTTTGAAAATATAATAATTTGAAATTTGATTCGAATAATAAAGCATAACATTTAAAATTATGTGTCTTCGACACACACAATGTGTGTCATTTTTTAACAAAATTCGTATGATTAATTCACATTTTTTATTTTCTTTTATTTTAGTATAACACGTATCAGTATTGATGCCATACAGACAGAAGGTGTTTTCAAAGGATAGAATGAAAAAATATTTTTAAATAGCATATATATATAGATAAAAACTTGTTAGTTTTCGGGAATTTCTGAATTTTCTTATGTTCTCCAGTGTGGAAAAGCCCTTTGGGAGTTGGGATTTGAAATGTATTTTTATATAAGAGAAAAGAAATCCAGAGTGGGTAGTGAATAGAGTAAATGTTGGGCATTACTTTTGGACAGGAATGGGAATGGAGCGTGGCAGCAATCATTCAAATCATACCCCAAAAACTCACTTGCCTTGCATTATATTATAAACGTATATGAACAAATTTTTTACCTTTCATTTAATGAACTAATAAATACAAACAAATGAATGGTCGATCCATAAAATACAACTCAAACAGTTTTGATATCAAATTTTATCATATCTCACTCTACATGACATCTATTTTTTTAACAAAAAAAATGAGTTTGAAAAATTTTAATAACTAAGTGACCATTTTATAATTTGTAATAATCAAGAAACTCAACACAATAACAACAACAACAACAAAACCCAATTCCCATATGTATGGGGTAAGGGGGAGGTAGGGTAGTAGGCTACCCCCAACGCCAGGTTGAGAGTAACTTCCGTGGAAGACCTCCGGCAGTCAGAAAATTAAAAATTTAGATAAAATGCAATGCATGTATAAATAAATACATAAATACATAGCTAAACAGTATTCATATGCAGTCATTAAAATCATATGTGCGTCTGTAACGGGAATTAATCCCTAAGAAAGAATCTCTGCATTAAACTCAACACAATAACATCTTTAAATAAAGTGATCATTTTATAAATTTAATAATCAATAACCTTAACAAAAAAATTCCTTACTATGGGAAGATTATTTTTGTAATTTACCTTTTTTTTACTTTAAAACGTCATTTCACCACTCGTAAAAGAAAATCAGAAACTAGTTAAAAGCTGTCTTGTGACATTTTAAAAATAAAAGTAGTTAAATGTAATTGTAAATAAAAATATTAAATCAATTAAATATGATCATATTTAAACATTTTCATCTTTCCACTTCAAACCCAATTCCGACGAAAACTTTGAAGGGATAACAAATAAAGGGTAAAAATGGGGAAATTATGCGGTAAAAACCTTTTAATATATGGTTAATAAAATGTGTTATTAAAAATGTTAATATTTTTTTAATATTTTTAATAAAAAATTACTTAAAATATTTTTTTTACCTAAAATATTAATATTTTTTAATATTTTTGATAAAATGTTCAATATTAACATTTTATGTAAAAAAAAATAATATTTTAAGTAATGATTTTATCAAATATATTAACAAATAAAACATTCAATAATAACATTTCAGATAAAAAAATATTTTAAATAATTTTTTTATCAAAAATATTAAAAAAATAATAACATTACTAATAATATATTTTCTTAATCGTATATTAATCTCACAGCCAAGAGAATTTCCCGTAATCCGTAAAAATGATTTATTAACGCAGAAACATGAATGAAAGTACTATAGAAAAGCAGTGCCAGCAAGGCCATGGTGAAGCAAATTGTGGGCGATGTGATCCCTAGCTTGTACGGCAGACGTAGATCTGAGATTATTCTCTGGGATGACTTCATCGTCAAAAACCTCAAAGTTAAGCCCACCTTCCATTTCTTCATTCCTAATCTCACAAATATTGTGCAAAACGCAGCAAGCTCCAAGAACGACCAGCAATTCTTGAAGCTTAACTTCGCTTCTCTTCTGCAAACAAGACCATCTCCCTTTCAATCTCCCGAATGCTTCTTTACCCACTTTTTCAATCTCTCCGATTTTCTCATTCAGTGCGTGTTGAGCCCATGTTACATTTTGATGACTGTAAGGTACCAAAATCCAGTCCATCAATGGATACGCTTTGCTCCCCACCACCCAAGTATCCTTCACGTGTCCCTCTGTCGCACTCTGGTAAAACGCCGATTTCTCTAGAATTTGTTCGTCCGACATCGAACCCGGCCACCCGATGCAGACGTCGCTGAAGACGCCGTTTTTGTCGACGATTCCTTGAAGGGTGATTGAATACGAGTTTTTTTGGCTTCTTTCCGTGTGTTTTTTGTTGAAATATGCGGCGGCGTTGGCTTTTGGTGCGATGATCGGGAGGTGGGTGGTGTAGATTGCGCCACCGATGTTTGGGATCCCGGTGGCGGATTCGTATTCGTCTTTGATTTTCTTCATCTTGTTGTCGTCGGGCCATTGGACGAATTTGGGCATTAAGACGGTTCTAATGGCGTTGCAGACCTCCAGCACTAGTTTATGGCAAGTTGAAATCCCCAGCCCAAACCGGTTCGACACCATCCGAAGCGGTTCGCCGGTTGCCAGCCGCCAAATACAGACTGCGACACGTTGACGAACCGGGATGGCGTCCCGGAGCATCGTGTTCTTTTTCATCACCGCCGGTTCCAACTCCTCGCAGATCATATTGAACGTCGCTTTGCTCATCCGAAAGGCGCGTTTGAACTCCTCATCTGAGAAATCCGGGTGATTAAATTTATCCCACCAGTCCTTTGATCGATCTTTTACCCATAACCGCTTATGGTGTCCCGATCCGCCGCCGGAATGCGATGGTCCCTCATTGTCTGAATTACCAGCTGAAACCACCGCTGCCGTGGCAGTACTAGCAGCAGGTGAACTGGATTTACAAGCGCGTTTGTTTCTGGAATCATCCAATTCATTCATTTCAGCGTGATGGCTTTGAATCTGATCGAAATAATCATTCATTTCTTGAACTTCATTCTTGTAATTAGCTTCGAAACTTGCTCTTTCTGGATTAGGATCAGTTAACCATTGATGTTGTTCTTGTTTTGCTCCATCATCCAACAACAAAATCGAAGAAAGTACATCTCTAGACCCGTTCTTCTCCAGTTCTTCATTCACCAAGGATTCTTCGCTATCTTTTCTACCCCTTTTCTTGCCATTCCCATTGAACCCATTTTCCATATCCTCAAACCAAGAAAATTCGCCGCCGTTGTTATAAGAAAGACCTTCAGAGGAATGAAATGCAAAAGACCCAATTTCCATGAAACGTGTAATATGAACACAAAATGATTTGAAATTGAATATGAAAACAGTGGGGTTGTATATATACCTATTCTATAAAACAACAGTCAACGCGGTTGGAGAATCGGCTAAGGAAGCGCGTGGGAGCGACGGTGTGAACGCGGTAGAAGAGTGAAATATTTGACGTTCACTTTTCGTATTTGATATGATTTTGTTCTCTTAATTTTGGTTTTGTTCGTAAAATAAAATTACGCAACTCGGTAAGGAATAATTGATTTAATTATCTAATTAATTAGATTAATCAAATTAGTTAGAAATTTATAAGATTATATATAGGATATATATTAATCTATATGGTAACGAGTCTTAATTCCATTAATATTTTTAAAAGTCATAGAATTTTAATATATTTTATGGATAGCTTATACATTTTATAAATTTTATAATTTTAATCTCAAAAACTAATTTTGATTGCATAACTTTAATATACAATTCAAATAATGTTTTTTTTTTGTACAAAAAAGTTTATGTCAGAGGTGTCTTTTCCAGTCCAGGGTCAGAGCATACCTAAAACCCAAATAGGATTTACATATGAATTTACAGATTGTCCATCGAGAGTGACGGTAGTATGATTCAAAGTTTCAAACTTAACCTTACAAGTTCAAATTCATGAATCCTAACCACTTGTGCCAACACTCGTTCTCACAATTCGAATAATGTAATTTATAAACTTAGAAATTATTGTATTTGTCTTCTGTTTGTGATTTTTTACTTGTCACAACTGTTTTTAGTATATTGTTAATTTTAAATCAAATTGTATCTCCAATCTTAAAATTTTGAGATATGGGTGTTTTTATCAATCAAAAAAATCAAGTGTTATATAACTAAATATTGAATTTAAATGATAAAATAATTTGTTATTTTACTTGAAATTAAATATAAAATATAATTATAGTGTTTAGTAAATATAAATTTTAAAAAATAATATAATTGAAAGAAATAAAAGTAAAATAAAAAATGTTAAAATAATTCTCCATCAAAAAATAAGTAGGTTCTTATTAACATTTTCACACATTTTCATTGAAAATTCTAAAAGTATATATTGAATTTTAATTTATCAAACGTACTTAAAAATCAAACTATTGAGAACATTAGTCTTCAATGAATAGAAGATTTTTAACTATTTTTTTAATTAATCACTGGTATTCGATCTATTGATCGATCAACCGGACGTTGGTGAAGATTTTCAACTATTAATCAAACATATAGGGCCAGGTTCCGATCGGGTCAGATTTTTTTAAAAATAATTTAAGTTCGGGTCAATCTTTTAAGTTATATATCGGGTCGGGTGAAAACTTTTTTGGTCGGGTCGGGTTGTGCCTCGGGTGGAGGAATTCTTGTTCTCGGGTCGGATCGGGTGAACTAAAAACCCGACCCATTCTCATCCCTACATGTGGTAGCCTCTTTGGTTAAAATAAAAATGTCCTAATAATCATAAAATTTTAGGTATCTTCTGTCAAAATTTACTACCAATCATATTAGTTTTGTAAGTAAATCATTGTAAAATGACCAAAGTTGGATAGAAAATACTATCATTGTGAAGTTTAGGATATAGTAGTGGTTTGTAAAGAAATATGAGGCGGCAATAATGAATTGGGATTTTTTTTTTACTATATGACGACCATTTTAATTTATTTTCTTAAGTAAAGTAATTTTTACAGTGTTCAATAGAAGACATCGAATATTTGACGTCTTCATAAATATATTGTATCTTTCGAAATACGTAAGATATTTAATGATTGGGACGCAAAAAAATGGTATTTTCAGCTATATATTTAATTCTGATAAAGTCTTGAATTATGCCACACATTATTGATAACAACCTTTCCGTACTTTTATTATATATATTTTATAATTACTATAATGCTAAATTAAATTACTATTCACAACATTTTTTTATTAATTTTAGATAAATATAAAATAATATATATTCAACATATTTATACATGACTTAATGAACTAAAATAAAATTTAAACTTTCCCACATTGTTTACTGGAATGAAAAAATCAAGTGTATATTTTATAATTATCGATATTTAATTTATTGATCAATTAATCTAAATCAGGTATAGTAGATGTAAGACTGACCCTCCCAATCCAATTTATTTTATTCTTAAATGTCAAGATTTGAATTCCTCACATTTCTTAAGAGATATAGTGGTCTCATCCCATTATAGACAAACTTGTTGTTAGTAATAGTGTATTTTTAAAATATATATATATAATAAAATAATTTGAAAGTGTGTAGCTAAGTATAATTTGAAGTAGGGTCACATGGACTTAGACGAGGCCCATGCACCTCACTATCCTATGGCATACTGCGATGCTAATACCACAACCGAGATGCTCGACTTCGGACTCGTCAATGTTAACCATGGGAACTCGAGGGGGTATACGGTATTACACATTGTAGCAATGAGAAAAGAGCCTAAGATTATAGTTTATGTTTTAACGAAAGGTGCTCGACCATCTGATCTCACCACTAATGGCAGGAAATCTCTTCAGATCTTGAAGGGCCTTACACGGCTGCTGATTACTGTATATCAATCGAAGAAGGGACAATTTCTCCCAAGTAAACCTGATAAACTTGACCTGTATCCAATATTCTGAATAGATTTTTCTGATTCGAGACTTGATATAAACCCGAATAAGATGACTCAAAATTGATCTGAAATTTGAAATAACCCAAATCAAACGGGAACAATCCAAATTTTAGTTGGACCAAAAGCATCCATAACTAAAATTAACCTGAATCGAAAGTAGCCCAAATCGAAAAAAAAGTCGAACCAAAAACAACTCAAATTTTGTTTATCCGTATCCGATTCGAACAGAACTTTAACTAGAAATTTGAGTCTAAGTGAATGAAAAATGTACTTATTTATTATTATTATTATTATATATTTTTACCATTTATAAATAGTAAAATGATGAATTATTCCCATTTTATATTATACTACTAGTTAACCAACACTTCTAGTAATAATTTAATGGTTCAATATAATCTTTCATCGGTTGAAAGATCATCTCTATATATGATGTAAAAACTTCTAGCTCTAAATTTGGACTATGACAATAAATATTCATATAAAATTATTGATTTTAAAGATTTATTAATTCGACTAATTTAAAATAAACTTATAGCTCTGAATTTGAGATGTGACAATATATATTCACATAAAATTATTGAATTATTAGTAATAAAGAGCAACCTTGAAAGTCAAGACGACAAAGAGAAATAACAATTGACATGAAAATCTAAAAGTTGACCAGTACCGAAACCAACCGATTCAATATTAACTTGATCTGAAGAAAATCCATCAGTTATTAACCTAACCTGAAAACCAACTTATATGATTTTGACTCAATTCGAACTGAATTTCCATAGATATGAATTAAACTTAAACCAGATCTGATTTGATCCGAATCAAACTTAAACCAAATGCAATCTAGATTTAAAATGACTTGATTCGAATTTGATCCGAATGAGCCGATTGCCACATTACTCCGAAGGACCAGCTGTATATAGAGATACTGGTGCAGGCCGCAAGACTTGAGGCCTAATGCAATCCTTTTGTAGTTGATCATCGCAAGGCATATTCTAGGGCAATATACAAGACGGAAATTTATATACTCAAAATTTGATGCTTGATTCGGTTGAAATTGTATTTTTGTTGTAATTGATTTTGGGAATAGCTTTCTGATCAATTTGGTTTTTGTTGGTAGAAATAAGTGAGGATTTGTGGAACTGAGTTGATAATTCCAATTGGTTCCATCTAGACGATACTAGTTCAATCGTCTGCTCTTACTAGACCCGAACCTGGATAAGATTTTTCTGATTTTGGACTATATTGACCCCACCTCAAATTAAAGAATTCAAAATCTTTTTATCTAAATTTAATTATATTTTCTATAATACATGAACAGATAAATCACCCCATATTATATCAAACAAATTATTCTTGGATCAGAAAGTTTGACCTATAATTCATTTTCTCATTGGAACCGACCATGGACAGATCCAATCCAAACTTGCTTATAGACCAATCCCAATTTGGACAATTTTAAAGCTCATTATTATTTGCAATAATATTATTTTTTATAATTACTTTTAAGTAAAATTCTTTATTAATAAATAATAAGTTTTAATTTTGGATATGAACTTTCAATTGTTTAAAGGTAAGTTCCTATTTTATAAAAAAATCATTTTTTTTCACGCACGCATGCAAAAATACGCATGAAACAGTAGCCGATTGGTTTTAAAATGAAAAGAACTGTCATCAAACTCATCACTAGAACAAAAATAAAGGCATGAACAAGGGAACAGGGACATGTAATACAAAAATACCCAAATTGCTTGAATCGCATGTAAGCCAAGCATCAAATATGTAACACACCATGATTTTAATTTTCAGCCTTTAAGTAGCAGATTTTGATATATACATGTTGAGAGGACCAGATATTGTTATATATGATTCAAAGTTTTCACAATCTAAGAGAAAGCAGTAATTTTGGAAGAGAACATATAGGAAAAGGAACTGAGAAATATAGAAAGCTACGAAGTATGAACCTTTGTTGTTGCTATCATCAAGAAATTCATGCAAGTGTCAATTGTTCTTTTAGTTCTCAGTGCTCCTACAGTCGATATCCGATATCCGATATCCTGCAACCAATGGTATCTACATTAAGAAACCATGAATCATTATCACTGCCACTAATATCTGATATCCTTGTCCGGTCCATATATGGATATGGATATGAGATATGATGCTCCAAAGATCATTCAAATACATTGAAATAGAACAAACCATGTCGAAGAAAGAAAATTAGATATCTGACTCTTATACCTGAGATATGGGTCAGACAGAGCCGGTTTGCTCCACCAGCTGATCACCGGCGAATCCACTCAAGCTAGAGGATTTGACCAAATGCTCGAACTCAAGATAGATATCGGAAGCATTCAATGATAACCCTTCTTCAATTGTTGTATTTTCTACACATGAACTTCCCCCTAGTAGATTTTCAGCCATAACATGATAAACAGAAGACATTTCTGCTGCACTGATATTCTTTTGATCCCCCATACAAGTTCCAAACTCTTTCTCCACACAATCATGCAAAAACTTTGTGAAATTGTTAAATTGAGTTGATTCCAATCCCTCCTGATAAATTTGGCTTATACAGTAGATATCACTTTGGTCAGTCTCCTTAGGCTCAGGCAAGTTCTTTGTGACACTTTGGTCAGTCCCCATCGGCTTAGTCAAGTTCCTTGTGACCTTTTGGTCAGTTCCCAACAGCTTAGCATCGTTCTTTCCGACACTTTGGTCAGTCCCCATCAGCTTAGCCACACTCTTTGCGACACTTTGGTCAGTCTCCATAGTATCAGGCAAGCTCTTTGTGACTTGTGTCTCAAGCAACTTCCTCTTCTTGCTACTAAATTGCCCCTCATAAAGCTCCTTTTGCTGCTGCTTGTTCTGAATCAATTGCTGAAACAGACTGGGGAATTTAACTAACTTAGCTAAGAAATTGAATATTTGCTGTTGCCTACATTCGGCAAATTGAATCCGATCTTCATAAACACTCAATTTATCATTTGATTCTTCATTCTTTTTTCTCAGTTTCATAACTTCCATCTGCAGTTCACTCTGATTTTTCTTCAAAATCCCAATCTCAGCTTCCAATCCAATATTATTTGTTGAATTATGTTTAGTTTTTCTCTTTATACTATTCAGCAAATGCTTCTTTCCTCCTTGGAACCCTTCATTCGCAAATTCCCATCTACCATAATTAATCTTCCTAAAGCCCTGGGAAAAAAACTCAGAAATCTGTAAACGTTAAAAGGAAAAGAAATTATCAATCGCAGCAAAAAATGAGGAAGAAAAGGGAGGGGGAACGTTACATAAATGTTGAGTTGGCGGATAAAGCTGGAAAAATTATTGTGCTTGAAGTATTTGGGAAGGAGATTCGCAGTGAATTCATGAGAATCCCAAACGATGAAGCTATTGCGGTGGATATTCCACGAAACAATTGGATCGGTTTCCGGATCCTCCACCATTTGAAACGTTTTTGTCAAAAATGGCGCTGCAACCAACTCGTTTAACCCTTCCATTAACTCTTCTTTTGACAGAGCTTTCTGATCGTCACATCCGCCGCGAGTATCGGCTCCGCTACTCTCAATCCCCGCCGCAGCTGCCTCCGGTTCTTCCTTGGCGACAGCATTTACATTCGACTCCGGTTCATCATCTCCGAGTTTCTTCGATTGTTTCGAAAACGAAGTCGTGTCGCTCAGACCAAAACCTTCTTCACCTCCTTCGTCAGGCACCGCCATTTTCATCGCTCCTTTTGAAAGAATTCGTATATTCACAGAGAAATTCAGTGTTGTAAGCTGAAATGTGTGTGTATGTATATATAACGGCACGTTTCTTTTGCTTCTTTGCCTACATCCCCTGTATTGTCTGTTTTGGGAAATGCCAATCACTGTTTGACACTAATTAAAATTAATTACTATTAATAATAATGAAATAACATATCTGATGGATTTAAAAAAAGAAAAGAAAAGAGTGTATGCTTATATATTGAAGTTACCGGACACCAATTTAATAATTAAACTTAAGATTAATTGTTCAAAAAAAAACCCAAAGATTAATATTATAAGGATTAGTTATGTACTTTTATCTATATTTATAACATACAAAAATGTATGAGCTGAGAGAATATTTGTACTAAGTAGTAATGGGCATACTTCTCGTTCTTCGACAATTTTATTAGACTAATATTTTTGAATTTTTTTTATTAAAATAGAACCTAAATAATATTATTTATTAAATTATAAAGACGTGTCTACATAAAAGTGCATTTTGAAAGGCGCATTTTAAAGGTAGCACCTTTAGTTATGTGATGGGTCATTCAAACGCTTTTTCCATCACTAACATTATCTATGACCAAAATGAAAAAATAATACCAAAAACTATAAGAATTTTATTCAAAAAGATACAATGAGTGGTGCTAATTGCATGAGCACGATTTCGTCGGACGACGACAGAGGCACATATGCATAGATTTTATCTTCAATCATTAAATGAGTGCATGTTTAAAAGAATAAATTTAAACACTTAAACTTATATATACATAATATGATATTTAAAAATATCCTGACATAAACTTATTAGTTTTGAGGTGTTAAAGACAATTTTTTAAACTTGATCAAACTCGTATTAATATAATAATTAAAGATAACTTTAGATATTAGATCCTGAAAATTTTATAAGGAAACAACCGTCTTTAAATATCATATTAATATGAGCCTGATGAAGTATAAGAATTAATTATATTTGATAATGCTTTTCAAAAACCACATTTTGTTGAGTTTGTCTTTTTTGACACGTATAATTCAAGATTAAAATAAAAGAAATAAAAATATTGAAGTCGAAAACTAATTTTTTTATAAATTTTATTTAAAAGAAGTATCATACATGATACATATAAAAAACTCATATATGTAAATCATGGATGTGTTAAACGTATCCTTTACATGGCACAAAATCCTCACATATGTGCATATTGGGCCGATAGTGACCATGTTGAGGTCTGATCATCATCCATAGATATTGTAGTGTTAGCTAATTCCACCAAAAAAAAGTTATTAACCAAAACCCATCAAATGTTAGAAAATGGAGAATTCAGCATGATGGGGAGAGAGACTACAGTGCTCATCTTTCTGTTTGTTAGCAGAGTCAGAAATAGAAGGTACGCAGGGAAATTCTGCCGTTTTTAATCAGGCTCCCTTTGTCTTATCCCACAATTAGACAATATCATGAACAACAATTTGATGTGTTAAACGCCATCGTTTTTAAAATAACTGCATGAATCAGGTATCAAATTATATATAACAATTAACTAACAAGGGGTTAACTTTCAGCCACTAAATTAAACAACAGAATTTAGATGCTTTAAACTTACCTCAAATTTAGCAATTCATCAACAACCGATTCTTTCCCTTTAATCTCCGTCTTCTTTATTTGACATTGGCCCTCAAGACCAAACCTCTCCGCGTATCGAAATCACAACGAAAATGACGACGTACGGTACCATTCCGGCAGAGTTGCCACGACCCTCGTTGAGCATGATTGCCCGAGCACGAGAACAGCTCGGATCGATTCTCGGGTCACGAAGGAAATGGGAAGACATGATCAAGATTCACGCCTTAAACTTACCCCCGAATGTAAACGAAGCCGCACTAAGGATCCGAACCAACGCCGTGTTTTTTAAGACCAACTATGCGATCGTCGTCGCACTTCTTCTCTTCCTCACCTTGCTCTTGCACCCTGTGTCGTTGATCATCATCGCTATCATGATGGGTGCATGGCTTCTACAGTACATGTTACGTGACAATCCTCTGTCAATCTATGGCTTCGTGATCAATCGTACCACAATCATCACGGTCTTGACGTTGTTCACCATCACCGTGTTTTTCCTAACCGATGTGATGAATAACGTCATGACCGGTATTTTTTTCGGATTAACGGTTGTTGTGCTCCATGGACTATTCAGAACTATCGATGATCTGTCCGCCGGAGATGAGAAAGAAGTCGGTGGATCGCAGTGTTAATGCACCATTTGTGAAGAAGCCACCAACACCTACGCCATTAAGAACGCTGTCTCGTCTTGGATGCCACCATTTTTGTTGTTTCAATTTAGAATCATCATACATGTAACATGGAAAGAAGTAATTCACTGTTCAAGTTTAATTGTATTTTCATATTGTCGTAACCGGTTTTCGTCCGGGTACGAAATATTTATTTGACGGGAAAAGTATGTGAATAAATGGTTTTTAAAATATTTTGGGAGTCGCCATCGGCCTTTTGGGTCAGGTAGGTCGAATACCTAAAAATTATCTTTTAAAAGAGTTTTTAAGAAAACATTAGTTAAAAGATAAACTGATCTGCTTTTTAACCAAAGATTTATTCTTTTTAATAATAAAAAGGGGTTCGTGGTCGATTACGTTTGGGGAAGGATTAGCACCCCCACAACGCCCAAAATTGGTACTTATTAATTATAAATTGTCTCTTATTATTGGAAATTTAAAAATTCAAAAATATATTTAATTTATAATCTTATTATTTCAAAGTTATAATTATATAAAAATATATTTATATATAAAATATAAATAAAATATTTATTTATTTAGAAATATTAGAAAAGGACTTCTAGGTGCCTTAAGACAGCTCTTTTCTTTGATATTAATAAATAAACAATTAATATATAATTTTAAAACAATAGGATATTTATTTATTTAAAAGTATCAGAAAATGGACATCCAGTTATTTTAATACTGTCATTTCTTAATATTGAAAAATAAATAAATATATATTAAAACATAATTATTAAAAGTAATTTATGAAATATAGGATTTTAATAAAAAAATATATATATTATTTATTATATATATATATATATTTATTTTTATAATAATAATAATAATAAAATAATAATTAAAACAATAAAAAATAATAATAATAATAAAATAAATAAAAATAAAAGGAAATAAAAATATAGTATTAAAATGTTAAATATTAAAAATCATAGTAAAAAATAAAAACTAATGAAATTAATGATTAAAATGTAAGATTATAAAACTAAAGTTCTAATTCGAAATATTATAAAACTTGAGTGCTAACAGTGTGATTTAACCATAATTCATAATACGAGATTAAAATAAAAATTACTAAACTATGAGGGACTAAATTTGATATTTACCTTAAATATATATAAGTATACAGGCTAGGACTAAATTATAAACTAAATAAAATCGAAAGACTGAATTAAAAGAATTTAAAATTTGATTTAGTGACTAAAATATAAAGTTACAAAAATGATGGACTGCGGATGGGGTTTACCCATGTGTGAAATTACACAGATACCCTCACCAAAACGGCGTCGTTTTGATGAGGGTATTTATACCCATTTAAGCCGGCCCTTAAGGGCCATGATTTCATTTTTCTTATTTCATCTCTCTAAAACGGAGATGGAGAGACCACCGGCCGGCAGCCGTGCTCCGGCGCCGACCACGACCGCCGACCACCGTGAGTGGTGGCCGAAACTTACAAAACCATACCAAATCAAAGCTCTTTTAACTCTAAAGCCAAATTTGGTATCCTTTTCTCCTACAACCCCATAGTATTTCCTAGATCTAGGATTTTACCTTCGAAGTTCGAAGGTTTCCGGCGACGTTTCGAAAGCCTCCAATGACAGAGTAAGCTCTCTCTTCTTTTCTTCTCTTTCTGTTATATTGGCTTCTGTGGGTTCGTGTTCTTGTTGCTGTCTGTTATTGGTGGTTCCCCTTTTTTTTCTGTTGGTTGCCCTCTCTTCGTTTCTGTCTCCGTTGCTTGCTGTTCGTGCTTTCTCTTTTTTTTTTCTTTCTCTGTCTTTTCTCTTTTTGTTTTGCAGGATCCGGTGGCTTTTATAGCCACCACCGAGCCATGCTCGGACCGGTCTAGAGGGGGAAGTTCGGTGAGTCATCGATCTATGTGGTGACTCACCCCATAGCCGCGACATGTGGGGGGCAGTTGGCCTTCTGGAAGCTTCTGGTGAGGCAGCGGCTTCGTGGCTGTAGCGCTGGCAGCTGGAACGTCTGGAAGCAACGGCGGCGGCCGTGTGGTCCCTAGGGTTATGATACCCTAGGGTTTCAAGCTGGATAGTTTTGGACCGTTGGATCTTGCCAGATCCAACGGTGGAGATCACTGGCGGCTGGGGCATGAGATGAGAAACCCTAGTTGGGTTTTAGGGTTTATGTTGGGCTTCTGTATCTGGGCCTGAGTTATTGTAATTGGGCTTTGTAATATTTAATAAATAATATATAATAATAATTATAATAATAATACTAATAATAATAATTTTAATAATAATAAAAAAAATTGATGTTTACAGCTGCCCCTCTTTGCTCATCCTTGTGTTAACAAGAATAAAGCAAAGACGAAAAAGACAATAATTTTTTCATTTGGCTTCTTTTGAACAGGATGGAAATGTTGAAAACATCAGGCACTGAAGGGCTTACAGATGACCCGAAGGTTTTTGAAAACATCAAAAAGCTCCTGAAGGCTTTTTGGAAACATCATGCACTGAAGGACTTACAGATGACCCGAAGGCTTTGAAAACATCAAAAAGCTCCCGAAGGCTTTTTGGAAACATCATGCACTGAAGGACTTACAGATGACCGAAGGCTTTGAAAACATCAAAAAGCTCCCGAAGGCTTTTTGGAAACATCATGCACTGAAGGACTTACAGATGACCCGAAGGCTTTGAAAACATCAAAAAACTCCCGAAGGCTTTTTGGAAACATCATGCACTGAAGGACTTACAGATGACCCGAAGGCTTTGAAAACATCAAAAAGCTCCCGAAGGCTTTTTGGAAACATCATGCACTGAAGGACTTACAGATGACCCTAAGGCTTTGAAAACATCAAAAAATTCCCGAAGGCTTTTTGGAAACATCATGCACTGAAGGACTTACAGATGACCCGAAGGCTTTGAAAACATCAAAAAGCTCCCGAAGGCTTTTTGGAAACATCATGCACTGAAGGACTTACAGATGACCCTAAGGTTTTTGAAAACATCAAAAAGCTCCCGAAGGCTTTTTGGAAACATCATGCACTGAAAGACTTACAGATGACCCTAAGGTTTTTTAAAACATCAAAAACTCCCGAAGGCTTTTTGGAAACATCATGCACTGAAGGACTTACAGATGACCCGAAGGCTTGAAAACATCAAAAAGCTCCCGAAGGCTTTTTGGAAACATCATGCACTGAAGGACTTACAGATGACCCGAAGGCTTTGAAAACATCAAAAAGCTCCCGATGTCTTTTTGGAAACATCATGCACTGAAGGACTTACAGATGTGGGAAATAGTTTACTAAGTAAGAAACTATGAAAATTATTTTCTTACTTTTCAACAATTTCATTTTTAGAAAAGATTGAATGAGAAACTATGGAAATCGTTTTCTCATTATTTTTTTTTGAAATAACATGTTGATTGGGTAACATGACCCAATCTAAAGATAATGCTCATTTTTGTGGATTGCGTCCATCTCTTCTTCAGATGTTTGCATGATTCCTGTATTTGTGGTTTTGAATACCTTCTTTATGTAAGGTATTTTTTACCCTGAATCTTCTTGTTCTTCTGAAGATCTGTGAAACTTTATGTTTGAATGTACTCAGATGTATTAATGTAATGCATCGTCTATTGTGTAGATGATATTCTTATGGATGCATGAATGTTGATGCAATCTTCATTTGACTTCAAAGTGGTGAACTTGGTCTTCCTTCAATTCATCATTTATTGCCAGGGTTACCTCTGGATATCAGTGTAGAAACTTATGCTATAAAGCTTGCATTTCTGTAGAATCATCTGATCAACTTGTATCTTTGCGTCTTCTTAACTTCATTTAAGTCTCAGAAGAAATGTTTCATTTATGGAACTCTTGTCGTAGTCAGAGCTATGACCTTGATGTCCCATTTTGTCTTTGGTAACACCGACTTTCTTTGTCTGAACTTGTGTAGAAATCCCATAAATCTTTCATCTTTGAAAAGAGAATCTATCATATTTAAAAAGAGAATCTTTCATCTTTGAAAAGAGAATCTATCATCTTTGAAGAATGTAGATGTGGATATGCCTGACTCAACAGGGATTAATTAGGGGAGTAGAGTCTGTTCTGATTTGACTCTTGAAACACATCATAAGGAGAATTTATCTCAATTCCTTTCATGTCCCCACATTTAAATCAAATCTCGAATAAGGCAACTTGACCATATCATGTCGAGATGCTTAACAACAACCTGTAGTTCAACCTTAGTTGGTACCACTAGTTTCTTGTTGTTAAAATTTCAGCTCTCTTTCTGAGGAAAGAAATTTTCATCATATCTCCCTTCTAATCTTGGGGTTGAAGAAGACAAACTTCATCTTGAATGGAAACCATATGATTGCAACATTGGTTCAGCACCATAATCATTGGTTTGTAAAACATTTGACAATACATTCATCTTTTCCTGTGGTTTCTGCTCGGATTATTGGTCAAAGAAGAATTTGACAACACATTCATCCTTTTCTGTGGCTTCTGCCAAGATTTCTCAATCATTGAAGCTCTTTGCCTAGCGTTCAAAGCTTTTGTATGATGTCACAAGACCATTTGAGAACAAAACTCAATAGGGATACAAGTGATATATTGGTATGACCAAAAAGTTGGTCAAATTCAGAATATATTCTGGTGTCGAATTGAATAGAAGACACTAATTACTCTTGATATCATCTCGGGCAAAGGCAAATGTAATACCGATCACATTTTCTTCTGTAATGAGCATTGTAGAAAGTAGAAACACTTCAGCTATAGGATCTATATACAAAAAGATATTCATGGATTTCTTGCTGCTGGGGATGAAACGCACATGATAAACCCCAAAAAATTCAATTCAGCCTGGCTGGCAATGATAACTTCAGTAACATCGGGAAAGAGCAATATACATGAGCTTCTCTCTTCAATGTCATCAAATAAACAAAACTGATATGAAAAACAGCTTCGTAACCTCAACAGTATGGTTGAAACTAACTGGTAGAAA